GTGTGTGTGTGTGTGTGTGTGTGTGTGTGTGTGTGTGTGTGTGTGTGTGTGTGTGTGTGTGTGTGTGTGTGTGTGTGTCTGTGTGTGTGTACTAATTTGGTCTAAATAATGAAAATGTCTTCCTTCACACAGACCACAATTATTTGGGACGCACATACGGGAGAGGCCAAACAACAATTTCCTTTCCACTCAGGTGAGTGACAAGAAGCTTTCTGTTTTAGACTGACTTAACCTTTTGCTAAACTCTAGTGACACCCAAGTGATGATAAATTCATATAATCAGAGTTCTTTGCACACATTGTGACTGATATATGTTTCTGCCACACTCAACCTAACTTGTCTGTACACATTTTGCACTCAGCTCCGTGTTTGACATGGTTGCCGTGCAAAAGGGACCATTAAATAAATGTGCTGAAAGCTTTTCTTTTTGTTTAAAAAACAATATCTGCCCTTAGAGTAGGGTAATAGTGAATCATCAGATTCAAATATGGCATAAAGAAATCTATTGTTTGGTGCAGTTCCTCGACCCCAAAATTAGATAGCATTTTAACACTTCCTGTACCCTCGTTTCCAAGGCAACGCTTTTTGGTTAGCTTCCCAAAATAAGGTATGAGGTTAACACAAGCTCACAAAATGTTCCCGCTTTGTTCTAAGTCTGGAGTTTCTAGGTGTCTTAAAAATAACGGTTGCTAGCAAGTGACTGAATAAGACTACTAAACGAATCACGTCAGCTTTAACTGCGTTAAGCTTAGCGTGTTGATGTGAAGTCATCTTACCGTCATGTGGTTTGTTTTCATAGCCAAATGTTAGGTATTTACTTCTGGTGATTGCATTTATGCTTTAAAATTCACAAAGTGGTGTCAAAATGTGGAGATATTCCTGCTGAACAAAACGTGAAGGTGTCATAAATGAGTCGGAGCTTATTTTCTGTAACATTCCAAAAACCAATCGAGGGAGCGCTTGCGATGCTAACATTTGGGCCGGTCACAAAAATATGTAATGACTGCACCACTCTGTTGTCATAGCATCGTGTTCATCTGGTCTTCTCTCCTGGTGCTCTGTGCCTCTAAGCTCTCGTTCCTCCCCACAGCACCGGCTCTGGATGTGGACTGGCAGAGCAACAACACGTTCGCCTCCTGCAGCACAGACATGTGCATCCATGTGTGTAAGCTGGGTCAGGACAGACCGGTCAAGACCTTCCAGGGACACACGGTGAGACAGGACACGTTGATTTCTCACAAGGGGGGGAACACACACCCTCCGCTGGCCACACTCTGTTCTACACGCATTGTTGCATAGCTAACAGTGGCGAGCCGTGACTTTTATACCTAGGCCCTCTGACATTTCTTTTTAATGTTTTCAAATATTATTCTTTAGAATATCTTAGGCCCTCAGAGAGGGCCTAGAGGGCCCTTACGGCTCGCCACTGATAGCTAATAGGAATACTGGCACTTACTAACTTTAGCTTCTGATTTAAAATAATGAATGCCCCTTTAGGGTATTAGGTGCTTATCCAACGTCAGTGTATGACCTACAGTACTGTTTACTGTATCAAAATCCACATTTTAGCCACCTTAAAGAAAAGCCTACCTAAAAAAGAAATTAGAATCAGTTTAAGTACAAGCTATATTTAGAATATTATTTTACCTTGACATAAGAGAGCCCTTTCTGATGGGAAACTGAAGGCGCCATCAATAATTGCCAAAGCCACCAGACTTTGTTGAACATTTTTTTTATTTGAATATGGAAGTTACTTTTGTACTGCTGCCTCAATTAGATAGTTAGTTTGTGTCGTTGTGTGATTACAAACCAAGCAAACTAATACACAATAACACAAACAAAACAACCAATTTAGTCGGCAATAAACCAGCCGCCCCCGTGCTTTGCAATATCAGATTGATATTTTTCTCAGTGGAGTCTGGTGGCTTTAAAAAAAAAAAAAAAGCATAGATAAGGGGTTCAGCTAAGGATTTTTTAGGTAAGCCTTTCTTTTATCTGGGTAAAATACGTTATGCTACTGACCCCGTCCCTCAGCAGTTAAACACAGTACTGTAGGTAATACACTGACATTTAATTACACCACCTTCACCTTCAAACTATCCCTTTTAATAGCATTCATTCACAACTCTAACAACATACAACTGTCTACTATGGGACGCTACAACCCAGTCTCACAGCATTTCGTGGTATAGTCGCGAAATTAATCTATTGATTCGTGTTCACCAGCACAATTTCCCCATTTATTTCGTGTCACACAGAATGATTTAAAAAAAAAAAAAAAACTTTTTATTTTAGTTTTTTATAAACAAACAACCAGACAGACAGCACAATAGCAGTTGGCAAACAAGTAGGATGACAACAGTGTGATTCGAGTCCGACAGGACAAAAAACAAAACAAAATAAATAAAACAAAACAAAAAAGGATTACGACAGGACAAATAAAACAACAACAAAAACTAAAGGCTTTGAGTCTAAGTCCATTATTAATAACGTAATGAAAAAGTAGAAATCAAACAATGTGTATAAATGGAACAAAAAGATCAAGCATATCAAATAAAAACATAGCACTTGTTGGTCAGTCGTCCGCCCATCCGGGGATATTGGAGACTTCCACATGAGCAATATCAGGCATCTGGCTAGTAAGGTAACAAAGGCTATGTAGGCTGTCTCCAGAGAAGAGTGCGGTCATGTGGGTGGGGTTAGACCAAACAGTGCGGTCATAGCATTAGGAGCGATCGGTTTTCCAGTGATTTCTGACAGTGATCTAAAGATTTCAGTCCAATAAGAGTGTAAGACCGGACAAGACCAGAACATGTGTGCGTGACTCGCCGGTGCTTGGCTACATCTTTCACAAGTTGGATCCACCTCCTTATATATTTTAGAGAGCCTGAGCTTAGTAAAGTGTGTACGATGCACAACTTTGCACTGAATCAGTCCATGTCTAAACGAAGAGAATAAATCTGAGCGTAAATACACGTCATCATTCGCTTCAGAGTAGGTGACGGCCTAAGGAGTGTGTCTAGTGGCGAATCAGTTGGGTGATTAGGAAACTGAGGAAATCATTATTAACAAAACTGCAAACTGTAGATACCTGAAGAAATGTTGCCTAGGTAGTGCACATTTATCAGATAGCTGTTGGAAAGAGGCAAATGTGTTGTGAATATAAAAGGTCTTTGAATGTTTTAATGCCTTGGTTAGACCAAATAGT